TAATTACTTGAAAATAAGATAAATTAAATTTATTAAGCACATTTTGGTGTTGCTCGATAAGTGATTTTTATAAAGAGACAATGTTTGCGCCCNACATTTCATAGAATTCTTCCAAACCTTCTTAACTCTTCTAATGTTCATTTGGTGATATGTACAATAAAGTTAACATTTACGTTCATTTGACCAAGCTCCGCGGGCCGCAACACGACTCCAGGCGGGCCGCATGCGGCCCGCGGGCCTCATGTTGGCCACCCTTGTTCTAGATGATTTTTCTATTTCACGGTTTCTTTATCTTTGTTCTTACATTTTTGTATTCGATATTGATTTAGGCGTGTAACATTCATTCAGCTTTTTAATACTATTACATGACTTTTCCTACACTATTTTTATATTAGCTGAAAGAAGAAGAATTATAAAATACAAATAAAAATCTTTATGGTGTCCGAAATATTTACCTTTTATATATAATTTGTTTTTCACTTTAAGTTTTCTTAATCAAACGAAAAAAATAGAAGTAACTCTACTAGAAACATCCGTTAAAAGATGGAACAACACTTCGATGCAAAGGCATTTTTATAATACACGTCAATGGCACTTACTAATAATGAAAATCATAAACTGAATCGTTAATAAAGGAGAAAATACCTCTTCCCAAATTTAGAATATTCCATGATGTGACCACCGGATGAATTTCCATAATAAGAAGAGGAGAAAATAGAGAGATGATGTAGAACCGTGAAGACCATGAAGACCATGAAGACGTTGGAAAGACAGACTCAAACGATTCAACTTCTCATTGTAATAAACGGATATTAAGTAAACTCATATGCGTGACAGAAAATTAACGTATTTCTTCACCAATATTTACAGATTTAAATGTATTCGAGACCAGTAAGGATTCACGCGATATTTATCTATAAACAAGGTGTTTTGCAAGTAATCTTTCGGGTGGGCCAACCTCTGGAGGTTCGTGTTATTAAAGCCAAGAAACGTCACATCTTAATTCCGGCCTTGTAACATTTAAATACGAGCAAATTTTTCATAAAAGACTTTCGGGAGGCATTCCCCATTGGCAGATTGTCCTACGTTAAACGAATAAAACCTAATAGTGGGCACTAAAAAGGACCTTTTAATCATATCCATAATGGGTATGACAACAACGAAGTGGTCGAGTGTTAGGGAGGGGGTCGTGTGTTTATACCAGATGCTCTGTCCTAGTTACTCTGCTGCTCTTAGTGCCCAAAGAAATAGTATTAAAATGTACTAACAGATAGAGAAGAATAATCCTTTATCTTCTTAAATTTTTTCCTTCATGTACAATACGTATAACTTTGAATTTCTCTCTTCTTTATTACATTTTTTCTTTCATAAATGTAAAGAAAATGAAAATATCTATTATAATAAAGTACGGAAATTGTTTTATAGATTGATATTTATACTACTATAAATTTTTAATAGCTTATTTTCAAATTATTTCTATTAAAATTAATAGAAAAAGAAGACGTAGTAGAGGGACGAATTATGCCAGGAACGAATTTCAGTAACGAATTTATAAAAGGGAAATTCAGACACAAAAAAAGAAGCCTAATCTCAGTGATATATTCAGTTGCAAATATGATTGGACTTTATAAATTCTATTTATAATCCTATTTGAATTTCACTGAACATTGGTTAGTCACGGGTTCCGTCTCTCTAACGGATTGGCCATGTGAATTTTTGGGTGTTTTCTTCACGTGTCTAACACCTAAATAGGGACCAGATTCTTATAGAAAGTCCTATCGAAAGGTATCTTCCTTAGTAGATTTGCCCATGTTGTTGTGTTCCATCAATCCACTCCACTACTATTCGGATTTATACAATTTGCCTTGTTTTTTTCTATAGGTATTATTATATTCTAGATCAGGGGTGGCCAACCTTTTTAGCAGGCGGGCCAAATTTCAGAAATAATATTTCCTGCCGGGCCACGCACCTAATTTTTTTTTGTTAATTTAAGTAAACAAGCAAGCGTGCTACAGCTTCAACCACATCGTTGCTTTCCAGTAGGTGAGATCGTGGTTAAACACTTGCCTGGTTTAATGTAAATAAACACTAAAAAATAGGTATATTTATTTTTTTTGAAGAAAATGAAACATAATTGAGAATCACTTATTCAATAACCGAGAAACATATTTATTAGACAATTAAAAAATATTTAAAAATGAGACATCTGACTTTGTTTTACAGAACTAAGTGCATCAAAATTGATCTCGACTAATGTTGTCGCTACACGCAAACAGTTTTCCAAATGAACATCAGTAATTCGTGTTCTCACTTGTGATTTGATGTACTTCATGCGACTAAAAAGTTGTTCACACGCATAAGTGTTTCTAAATAGCGAAACCATCGACAGAGCATGTTTGTAAAACGCAGGATATTTATCCTTGTCCAAATACATTTCATAGAATTCTTCCAAACCTTCTTAACTCTTCTAATGTTCATTTGGTGATATGTACAATAAAGTTAACATTTACGTTCATTTGACCAAGCTCCGCGGGCCGCAACACGACTCCAGGCGGGCCGCATGCGGCCCGCGGGCCTCATGTTGGCCACCCTTGTTCTAGATGATTTTTCTATTTCACGGTTTCTTTATCTTTGTTCTTACATTTTTGTATTCGATATTGATTTAGGCGTGTAACATTCATTCAGCTTTTTAATACTATTACATGACTTTTCCTACACTATTTTTATATTAGCTGAAAGAAGAAGAATTATAAAATACAAATAAAAATCTTTATGGTGTCCGAAATATTTACCTTTTATATATAATTTGTTTTTCACTTTAAGTTTTCTTAATCAAACGAAAAAAATAGAAGTAACTCTACTAGAAACATCCGTTAAAAGATGGAACAACACTTCGATGCAAAGGCATTTTTATAATACACGTCAATGGCACTTACTAATAATGAAAATCATAAACTGAATCGTTAATAAAGGAGAAAATACCTCTTCCCAAATTTAGAATATTCCATGATGTGACCACCGGATGAATTTCCATAATAAGAAGAGGAGAAAATAGAGAGATGATGTAGAACCGTGAAGACCATGAAGACCATGAAGACGTTGGAAAGACAGACTCAAACGATTCAACTTCTCATTGTAATAAACGGATATTAAGTAAACTCATATGCGTGACAGAAAATTAACGTATTTCTTCACCAATATTTACAGATTTAAATGTATTCGAGACCAGTAAGGATTCACGCGATATTTATCTATAAACAAGGTGTTTTGCAAGTAATCTTTCGGGTGGGCCAACCTCTGGAGGTTCGTGTTATTAAAGCCAAGAAACGTCACATCTTAATTCCGGGAATGTTTTTTTTTTTTTTTCTTTATGGCTTTAGGAATTTCTGTGGTGGAAACATTGTGGTTTTAACAAATAATTTTTAATTCGGCTAAATAATATATTTTTAACTTTAAACCTTAAAAAAAAATATATGTATATATAGTATTTATTTTAACATTTTAATTTTATTTTTCATGATGTATAGAAATATATTATATACATTTAAAAATAAATAATATTGTTTAAAATAGGTTGGGTTTTTCCGTTTATGAATTACAAATAAAATTATAATATTTATTTTATTTAAATAATAGATTGAAAGAGAATATTTTATCCTTTATTTAATCATTTAAATAAGGAAAATTTTTTTCACAGTTTAATGTGATATTTCTCAATTTTTATGTATTAAAAAACATTAACCGAAATAATACAGTAGATCACCCTATAACACTGTTTTATATGAATTCCATGTTGTACGAGTCACTTAGATTTTACAAATAAGTGTGCCGGGCTGTGAACGGCTCACGTATTTGTAAAATCTAAGTGACTCGTACAACACAGAATTCATATAACACGGAAATTATAAGTCAAGGTGAAATAGAGGAAAATGAGGTCGTATCTGGAGTATGGTAAATTTTAATAGAAATTTTATTCCTACGAGTTTTTTAGTTTATTAACCCCTCTCTTCCTCTCCCCCGAGTGAGGAGAGAATTTTCAAAAATCCCTTCTTAGTGTACGTTCTCGTGACGTATACCAAATTTCAATTTTTAACTCCTAACCGCTCTAAATTAATGTTTTTGTATATTTAAATGAATTATTTCATTAAAAATTCTTACTGTATAATTAATTACAAAATATACATTATGATAAATATATAAACTTTATATTAAAACATATTCATCTAATTATGAATCTGTATATATATATATTTCCTCTTAGAATATAAATTTAAATAGAAATACTTCCTTATGTTATACTAGAATTTAATGATAAATGTTATATTAATCTTTTAAAACATGTTTCTTTTTTATATTTTTATATAATATGATATAACAATTGTATAGAACTTATTCGTTAGGTATTTTCTAAACCAGAACAATATTCTTTATGTAATAATTAAAGTAAACATGTTACAGCCTATTACATATTATCGAATAAAGAAGCAAGAAATTTCTTATCATATTGATTCTTATCTATAGATGCAATTGACTATGATTCATCTAAGAAAATAAACGTTGTCCCATTTCATTTAATATGTAACAGTTGGTTCCATACTTTTACTAATTAACTATAATAACAGTTAATAAAAAGACGTAGACTTTTAAATGAAAAACATAATATGTAATTAATAATATCTCTAAATTTTTTATGTAAATCTCATCTAAAAATATACACACATTTAGAAAAAGTATTTTTATTTTTATAAGAATCTTTTAATAATGTGGTTTTAAATTAATGCAAAGTACTTCATAGAAAGTAAATAAATCCACAAATGAAAAAGCCACATGTACCAAAAATTAGTGATGTCATTTTCTCTCGACCAATGATCGAATATTCAATGAATTGTGTCATGTAAGATAACCAAGCAGATTTCCCTTAAGAAATACACCCAATCAGATTTATTTAAATGATTTTTTTTTCACTTTATATAAAATGAACATCGACATATTACATAAATATTTTTGAAGATTAGTGTAATAAACAAGATGGCTCCTAGTCAAACTTTTACTACAGTAACAGAAACTGAAGAAAATGCAAAATCTAAAAAACCACCAATGGAAATTGTATGGAAAAATGTAATAGCATTTATTATTTTACATATTGGAGCTCTTTATGGTATTTATCTTGCAAATTGGAGAACTTTTACAACTGGTAAGTGTTTTTTTAAGGGTGCCAAAGTTAATTACTTTACTCGTGGTTTTATTCTTTTAAACAGTTTATATTCGTATATAATTTAAATTTTATATATAATGTAAATAAGAAATTGTTAAACAAAATATTATTTTCAGCATCATTATGGGCATATTTAAGCATTTTGGGAGTAACTGGAGGATCTCATAGACTATGGTCTCATCGTAGTTACAAAGCAAAGTGGCCTGTTAGAGTATTTCTTATGTTCTTTCAAACCATGGCCATTCAGGTATTTTATTTTATTTTATAAATTAAGTATAATAAAACAATATAATTTTTATTTTTCCATCTTTAATTTTTTTTGTTGAGGAAATAAATATAGTTTAATATGTTCAAGGAACATGGAATGAAGTTTTACAAGTAAAATAACTATTTCTATTTATATATTAATTTTAGTTATCATTTAAAATATTATTTTTAGTATATTAAGGAAAAGTTAAATTCGGAAATAAAGCTAATGCTATTCAATTTTAATATTTCTTCTATGATTTGAGATTAAAACATTTCGATAACAAGGAAAAAAAAATATATATATATATATATATATTTAATTATAACTAAGCATTTAAAACCTGATTTTTATAAGTATTAATTATGGTAATATATGGAGTCGTTAATTAACAATTTTAATAAATTATTTATATTTTGAAGTTTCGGAATTCTTATTTCACGGTCAAATTTTTGTTTGCTGGGGGAGGTTCATATTGCCTAAATGGGATCGCCTTTATGAATAAATATTTCAAGGAAAATGATTATTCCTGTTCTTGAAACTATTAAAAAAAGTTAAATAATATTAATAAACAATTAAAACCTTTACTAGCAATACTTTTTATTATGGAAATCAAGCTGTTCTTGCAGTCATTATTAGGATTGCTGCAGGAACATTAAATATATAATAAACTTTTCTAATACTTTACGAAAAGTTTATCATTTAATATTAATTGAATACGTTATGTAACGAGTGAAAGTTTTGTCTATGAAGGTTTTTTTTTTGCATGATTAAATCTATCATATATTTACATGTGTTATATACAATACCCAAAATAATCTCAATGCAGTTTGATAAATCATTCATAAAATATGTTAAAGGAAAATTTTAACGTTATAAAAAAAATTATAATAATCAAAATATAAATTATCGATAAAATCTAAGTCAATGACTTGTATAAATATTTCTAAAATTGGTATTTGTGTAACATGAAGTATTCATTACAAAGTATCAGTACGCCATCTTTCGATTGTAGCGCCGCGAAATTAGGTCATACGTAAACATTACGTTAAATATTGAGCAAATTAATTGATTTTCAAATACAGTATTTGCATTATAGTATTTATAGTTCATAAAACTTAAAAGCACAGTACTTGATCTACCCAAAACACAAAAACAAAAGAGTTTATAGATTATTCTTTCGGGTAATCCCTGGTCTCATCAAGTTCATCGAGATTCCACTGTATAAGCAAGCCGCAACTGATACGTTACATATTATCTATGAATACAGTCGACCCCCCCTATAACACTGTTGATTATTCCGTTTTATATGAATTCCATGTTGTACGAGTCACTTAGATTTTACAAATACGTGTGCCTGGCTTTGAACGGCTCAAGTATTTGTAAAATCTAAGTGACTCGTACAACATGGAATTTATATAAAACGGAAAAATCAACAGTGTTATGGGGGGGGTCGACTGTATTTTCATCCGGTTGTAATACCAGTGAGATATCGTACAATATTGTAATCTATGAATATTTTTTATTGTATAGTATTAATATATTTGATTAAAGTATATTAAAACGTTATAAATTTATCATAAATTCTCTAGTTTTGCATACAAAATTTAATTTCGGATGTTTTCTCGCTTACATTTCGTACGTATATATAATATATGCATTACATATAAATGAATGCTATTATGAATAAAGCATAAATCAAGTTCATATATATATATATGTTTTTCGTTTTATGACACGCAATTAACATACTGAGAGTCTTCACATAAATATGACATGGTGGAAACACTACTTAAAATATTATTGCGGTTCTACCCTTTAGAGTTGATGCTCATGGCCAAGAACTATCTATACGAAACTCTTTGATGAATCAATTTCGATTGATTCAGCAGTTTAGTATGATTGTGTACGTCATATTTAGGTTGTATTTAGATAAATTCTAGGAATATCAATTGTAATACTTGGTAAATTTTAAATTCGTGTTAAATTTTACATTGTATAATTCCTAAAGATATAAAAATCCCTTTTCTTGTTTACGAAAACAAGTTGATTAATGGATTCTATGATTTACAGTAATTTAGACGAATTTAATTATAAATAACCAAAAGAAACCACAGATCATGTAATTCCCCCTCTGGAATTTCTGTCTTTAACACAGATAATTTTACTAATTATTAATTGTTGGGTTCTATTTTTATTGTCATTAATGGGGAGACTTAAGGGTCCAGTAGTATCCGGGTGAATCAAACCATTGAACATCTGTGTTCGCGCCTGGCTACGGGCTGGCCACGTGGAGTTTTATGGGTTTTCTTCACGTTAGTAACAACTAGACAGGGGCCAGTTTTACATAAAAGTCTTCCCAGAAGGCATTCCAAACCTTGACTTACATTACCTATATTATTATAAATAAATAAGAATGTAATAATTAATTAAATATTATTCAATGTTGTATGACGTTTAGAATCACTCAAAATGCTTTATTATTAACTGATAAACCTATAACACTATCATATATTTACGGGCATATAAACAGAAGGCATAATTATACATATGATAACATAACCTATATCCATAAGATATAAGAATCTATAATTGATTTTTTAAAAACTGGTTTATGATTAATTTGCTGTTTACTTTTTTTAAACCAGAACAAGGAAGATGGAATTTATATATTTTTTTATTGTTTTAATTTACATTTTGTACTGCAGTTTTCCTTGTATTAGTGGAATTATTTCAAAATGAAATTCGTTTAAAGCCATGTTATTCAAATGAATTGACGTAAAAAAAATATATTAAGAAACTTTATAATTGGAATTATATTGCAGAACGATATCTACGAATGGAGCAGAGATCACAGAGTTCATCACAAATATTCCGAAACAGATGCGGATCCACACAATGCTAAGAGAGGATTCTTCTTCTCTCATATGGGATGGCTAATGGTTAAAAAACATCCGGAAGTAAAAGAGAAAGGGAAAAGTATTGACATGAGCGATCTTCTCAAAGATCCCGTCGTTGTGTTTCAGAGAAAGTAAGGAAATTCTTTCATACTTAACATTATTAATCAATCAACTACTTGTATTTATTAATGTTCGTTTATTTTACAGGTATTATTACATATTAGTATTTCTGATATCCGTAGTGATACCAACAATGGTTCCCATTCTTTACTGGGGCGAAAGCTTTTGGAGTTCACTTTTTACTCAATTTTTCAGCCGTTACGTTGTGTCCTTGCATGGAACATGGTTGGTAAACAGTGCCGCTCACATGTGGGGTACTAGACCATACGATAGATTTATAAATCCAAGAGAAAGTCCAATAGTTCATATGTTTTCAATTGGAGAAGGTTTTCATAATTATCATCACACGTTTCCATGGGATTACTGTACCAGTGAGTTCGGATGGAAATTAAATTCAACTGCTCTCTTTATTGATTGTATGGCATGGTTAGGATTAGTTTATGACAGAAAAAGAGCATCCCCAGAAATAATTCAACAGAGAAAAGAAAGAACGGGAGAGAAATTATAGCTTTTTTTTTTTTTTATCTCGAAAAGAACGAATAAAAATTATTTTTTTGATAAAATAATAAAAAATTGGTTTAAAATGTGTGTTAGTTATCAAAAATTTAAATTAAAAACATTATAAGGGAATAAGAAAACTACTTAACACTGGTAATTAGTCATGGGTTCAGGCTGGTCATATGGAGTTTCCCACTTTTCATCACGTGTCTGACACTTAAGTAAGGGTCAGTTTTCTATAGAACCACCTTCTGGCATGCATTCCCCTCGTGTATAAATAAAACCAATATAATCTTTAAACACTAATTAACATTTATATTATTAAAACACGTGATTAAATATGAAAAATAATCAATCGAATTACTTTAAAATTTATTATTAACGTTAATTACAAATAGAATCCCACGAAAAACTCAATTAAATTGATGAAAAACAATTATAAAAATTTAGATAAATTTCTAGCTTAAATGAATTTAAAATATTTCTTTCTCTCTTTGATTTAATATATCGCTTGTTTTTTGTAACGAATTTATTACTTCTAAATGAATTGGATTGTATATTTCATTCTTCATCTTGATCAGTTGCCTCTTCGATATTATCTTCTTCATCAGTTTCTATTTGATGAACCGAAGTAGAATGGATGACATTTTGTAGAACCTCATGAACTTGTTTAGATTGATTTAAANAAAAAAAAAATATATATATAAGAAAATTTACATATAAAAATACAATATTTGAGAAATATATACTGTGATCCTTCTAACTGTCGATACTTTTCGAGCTTTCCTTCCAGTACATCAGTTTACAGTTTACCAGTAAGAATGTATTGTATTGAAAGCCAAGCTCTTCAGTACAATATTTAGATATTTCATTGTCAATTTGTGATTTAAAATGACCAATAACAAGCATACATTAAGCCCTAATTTTATGTGTCAGTTTATGATTCTCGGCGTATCTTCTATGCCAGTGGTGCCAGGCGCCCTATGTCAAATTCTAACAAGTACAATTTGCGAAATAGCGAAATAGCCAATATTTTTTTAATTAAAGAGTTAGGTCGTTAAGTAAAAAATAAATAAAACACGTATTTAAGATGACAAAAAAATGTAATTGAACAAATTCAATTAATTATAATAAGTGGGATGGATGAGCCTGTTGATCACCGCACATTTTCTCAAACCTTGGAATCAAACTGGACACAGCCACCCTCATTTCCTTCTCCACGTTGATTTTCGCGCAATGTTTAATTTTTAACACAACGACAAAATCAGCTTTACACAAATAAGAAGTAGCAAATGGAATTAAAATTCTCTAAGCTGTACCACTCATAAGGGATATTCATCTTTTACTGATATCCAAAGTTCAGTTAATTTTATGCTGCTAAATTTTGTTTTCAACGTATTGTAGCAAGACAACTCAATAAGAAAAGCATTACCTCGAGAGAACCATGGCTCTCGTGTGATAATGTTTAGTACTTTCTCGATACAACAAAGACGTGTGGGCGAATCCAACATCCTCACATAGTTTTTGAAAAATCTTGCCTTCAACAGCCGTTTTTATAAAGTTTACTACATGTACTACATATTATGGTTCAATACAGGACTCAGATATTCTGAGGCGAGTGCTTCCCTGTAAATAACGCAATGGGTCCACAGTGCATAAGGGTCTTTGCTTCGAAAAAATGCTTGCAAACCTCGACAATATCAGGACATAGAACGAGCATCATCAGTAAAGATACCAATGCATTTGGTCCATTTTTATTTTCGGAAATAAAAATATCAAGGATCTCGAACAAGTCGTGAACCTTAGCACCAGCAGCGATACTTTTACAGAAGAGAAAGTCATCTACAATGCTATTATTATCTATAAACTGTACATAGCAAATCAAGTGAGTATCATTATTATTATCTGTGTCCTCATCCAGCTGCAACCCAAATTTCTTCCCTTCTATTTTTTTTTTAATCACTGAACATTGGAGTTCATTCGCTATGTGCTGTATATTCTGCGACTGACAGTGTTATTGAATAAAGCCACTTTTGAAAGCTGCTATCCAGCAGACCACCGATCATAATGTTTATCATATCAACAGCACCCGGTAGAATGAGGTTTTTCTGCTATAGTATGAGGCTTTTTACATTTTGCAATTCTATGTGTCAACTTTATTACTGAGCTAATGATTTACATCAGGTCTGCTAGATGTTTTGATTCAAGAATACAACTTTAATTATGTGGTATACCAAGATACTAGGCTTATTGATTTTAATTTTAAAATAATCACATTTAATGGAATAATATGTCGCTTTTAACCCTTAATAATATTTAATATTACATTTCCTTCGCCAATAATTGGCTATGAGTGAAAGGAGGTTAGAGTCTTGAACCTGTTTTTTCTCTATAACTATTCTAAGTCTCCTTTTCAAAATAATGTTATGCAGACAATATTATGGTTGAGTATGTCATGTAAGTAATAACTTTACAATTAATTTTTTTAAACAATAATGTTTTTTTTAAATATATACTTGTGCATAATACATAACGTTCAATTACTGATAATAATAGCTCTTCTCTCAAATTTTTAGACCCCGTATGCTTTATTTTATTCATATTTTTATCTGATTATGTTACAGTATTAATATTTTATTTTAAAAATTTATTTATACGCAAGACTCCTACCCATAAATTTAATATATTTTCACTGTAACTAATAATTTCGAACAGAGTATTTATAATTATGAACAGAAAACACAAGTATTATACTGTATATCACATCGTACTGTTTAAACTTTGTCTATGACAATATTTTATACCACACTCGCTGCATTCCATTTCATTTAACATATAACGTGTTGAACAACGTTCACAGTACGGTAAACAAATGATAAACGTGCTATTTTATTCTTCGAATCAGGCGAAGAAAAAAACGTTGCGTAAGGAAAAAAATTATTCATTTATAAATAATTAAAAACTTTTAACTTATTTTCAATCTAAAATAATGGATACTAGTACATGCCCGGGCGAAATATATTAATAAAGGTTAAGATTATTAGATTATTTTTTACTTCTAATTCTTCTATTATATTATATTATAGTATTTCATTTATATTTACAAAGGTTCGTCTCACCGAGTGACCAATCTAACATATTTAAAAAAAAAATTTAAATTGTGTACAGTAAACGAATAAAGAACCCATACACAAGGTAATTTTTGCATTTATATAAATCAAACATCATAATATAATAAAAATTAAAACGAAAACCATATAAGAGTTTGTTTAGTTTAGCCAACCATTGTCACTGTTATCGCCATACTCGGACGGTACGAAATGGCACAGTCTCATTGGTAAAGTACACGTTAATTGAGGATATATCTTAAAAAGTTAAAGACATCGTATTTTTTTTAATGTTAACTGTAAGAATCTGTACTATTCGCAGCCGAATATGAAATGGTAATCTGCCAACCAATCAAATTTCGCGAAAAACGGATCATATAGGTATATTTATTCTGCATTCCAGACTATCCACATACACATTCATAGGGACAGGCCTTCCTTCCCATGCCGCCAGAGGTAAAAAAGTCCTTTAAAATACACAGACATCCAATTAAAATTAAAAGAAATCGGTGACACATAGACGTTTTACTTCTCATAGTCTGGAATGCAAAATAAATGGCCATCCCTCTTGGGCAGAGTTGTCTTCGATTTGGTTAATAAATGTATTTATTTTAAAGTTAAAATTTATAAAACAAATATATCAATTTTTAGGTTTCGAAGCTGTTCTGAGGTTCAGAAGTCCAGAAAATACAGAATGAAGCGATCTTGCCATCTGAAAAATTTCAAAAATTATATAGGCCTATATCAATATAATGTTTCCATAATTAATATTATAAAACGTAGTTAAATATACTTTAATCGGAAATTTCTTGGTAACGTTGAAGTAATCATTCATGGATAAGCACAGAGACACTTTACCAAATCTCTTCATAAAATTCAACATCTGTACAATAACTGATTGTCATTATTAAATAAAATTTACAAAAATTAACATTTATTAATATAAAAAGAACAAATTTATAATAATCTACCTTTAATTTCTGTTCTAATCTGAAATCGGAATTAGCAAATCTTCTTATATCTTGAAAGGATGTTTGCATCTGAAAGAGAAAAACAAAGCGAAACATTTGATTAAATCCATAAATTAACTTATTTTCATTTTAAGAAAACTCTTACTTTTGACGTAAAAACAGCCATCAGGAATCCAAATAAGATACATACAATAGTTGTTACAGCACAAATCATTAAAATAAAGAGTTTCAATGCGAATTTCACTTTTGAGTAGATGGCAATAAAATAAAGTAGACACGTTTCTGTTAATAAAGCAGCGTAGAAAATCGTTAATACATAATTGAATGGTCCGTTGAGTTGATTGGTGTATGACCAAATTTCATGGTGCTGTGCCATTATTTCTTCCAATTCCAATTTTAAATTCGCATTATCTTTTGTCATTACGTAGAGTTCTTTTGATATGTTCTGGAAGGCCGTCGATAACGTAACAATAATCAAGACAATAAAGAAACAGAGGTATATTAACCCTCCACTCATTACAGTCATCCATATTCCAATTTCAACGCTGCAAATAAGTGCTTCCAGCTTGAATAATTCTCTTTTCTTCAAATCGTGATAAAAGAAAAATACATTCAACAATTGTAGCCATGATGTGGTAATTACTGTTATAATCATTGTGGCACTTTCTGTATAAGTAATGATAGAAAACAGCTGATTTTGGCAAAAGTAGTTGGAATTTCTTAGTTTAATTTTTGTATTTAATTTTACTCTTCTGACGATGCTGAATATTACGGCGAACACTAAGGCAAGAATACAAACGCTCATTTGACAAAGATGTCGTTGTCGACAATCGAGTACCAGGATATACAGGGCGTTTTACTTGACAGAAAAGGAATTATCATGGAAAAAGTGAGGAAAAAATGCATCCAGTATATACATTCGATAAAAACTAAATAAAATCTGTATAGAAGTTTGAGCAAATAATTGTGTTTTCGCATGACACAAGAACAGGGATTGAAAAAATTCCATCCGTATATCATTGATATTGAGGTAAATGATGACAGAATACATTTTAGACATATTTCATGTTTAAAACTTACAATAGTAGAGCTAATGCTCGATGAGGTTCGTATTATGTCGTCATGGATACTTGTAATCATCTTTGATGTAAGAACAGTCTGCGTTGTATTTAAAACGGAGAATTACGGCAGAGAATAATTGTCTGTTGTGTACAGTCAGTTGAATTTACTGTGCAGCTTCAAGGATAAAGTATAGCTGTTTCACTTTTATGTAAGCACAATTATGAAAACTAGCAATACCTTTAATGGAAATCAGAAATTTTATAAATTATTATACCATTAAAAGTTAAATGCAGTAATCGATAATGAAGCTAAATACAATGGCGTGTAATTTTAATAGGGTCATAAAGTCCAAAGGATTTGTGTGCTTTCTAAATTGATGCATCTAATTATATTAAGAAGTATTTCTAATATGTTTAACATATAAATTTCATTAATGATAAATGAACTGGTTCACGTACAGTACCAGGAATTTATTTTTCTCGAAACATTCTCTAGTATTATAACGTGGAAATAATAAATTTTTCAGATTTATTACTTTTAGTTTAATTTATATTACTAATATAAAAGACGTCGTCTAATTCTTTATAACTGCTGCAATATTTGTCGAATTCAGATGACATTTTTCTTGTATTTGTTCCATGTTTTGTCGTAAAGTATAAGCTACTTACTTCGAGAAAATATCGACTATATAATAAGCGTTGTATCGATTTCGAATCGATGATCGTCTCTACGTTGAACTAACGTTAGTTACCAGGTGACGTTCAGGTTTAAAGTGCAAATTTTCCTTCAGCTGCATTTTTAAATAATTTGGCAAATAGCTTATTTAAATTTCGTTCAGTAAATTTAGAATTTAAACTTTAAAAAAACTAAAGTCGCCAAATGAGTAAAAATGTAGTCTAAAAGTGATTGAACTTTAGTTATTTTTTCAAATTTGTTTATTTATTGATCTTTATTTTGTGGTAATGTATTTACTTGTTAATGAAATTGTTCTATTCAAAGATTAATTCCACAATGAAATATTAAAAACACTGCAAAATCGGAGACGTCTTGTCACTCTACTTAAAGTTGCATTGTTTCATCTAGTCTAGATTCACAATGAGTTTCAACTGGGAGTAACGTCATTCATCTGAAAATGCATCTGAATATTTTTATATACATTTTTGGATATATGTGTATGAAAATGGCTATAAAAGTTTTAGATCTACGTGTCATATATAACCAGCCAAATAGTTAGAGTTTTAATATGAAGCATATTGTGACCCTGCTCCACCAAATGGCACTACAGAGTACAAAGAGATTAAGATACATTTTCTTTGTACTCAAAACTCCGTAGTCATATTTGGGGAGAAAAATCTATACTAAGAGTTTTGTGATATATTGTGACGCAGATAATATGCCATTGTTTTCTTTAAGAAATTTTGTATGATGAGGCAATACAGGTCCCTTCTGAACTATCAGTTTTAATAACCGAATATTAATAATTGGTGGCCAGTTAAAAGGATTCCCTGTATCTACATCACCTTCAGTGGTCAATTCAACAAAATATTATTTTCTAAATTATTTTTTCCACAGATCGATTCAGGCACTAACGTTTCTTGACACAATTTTAGACGAATTTCAGACTTGTCATTTGATATTTCACGTTCCATTTCTTCATTATTATCTGAAATGCAATCCTTAGTGCTGTTGATGCCGTCGGATCAGCATCGTCCAACTTTACGCATTTCAGCATAAATCCTTGTAATTTTCTGTTTTCCTTATTATGTTTATTTTTTTGCTCGCGATAAACTCACCAGACTGATGTTTTGTTTTCTTGTCTGACATACCTGAACGTATCTATAATAGTAATAATTCTTTGCTTACATAAATTATATATTTTTCGAATGTGTTAGAGGCAGTTTATAAACTACGTCTGTATTATTCAAGAAATTTGGCCCAGATTGTCCCAGATTGTCGAAGTTTTGTAATCTCCTTTTCTTCTTTGGACGTCCAACAAAACTCAACCCTTTTCAAAACTTTTATCACTTTATGAATAATAACAAGCATAAACTGTAAAATTTTATGAAATAAAACGGACGTCCATTGTATTCAATACCTCCCCTCACCTCCTGGCAGCGACCATTGTGAACCTAGTCGAACTCGTAATGGTTATAACTAAAATGCTTTGTTAGTGCCCAGGACATATTCAAAAATCGAAAACAAAATATCATATTTGAGTAAATAACCAGCAAAGAGAATAAGCATTCGTCTATGATAATTGTTCTATATTCACTGTTTTTTATTTTTACAAAGTTTATTATGAGTAGAGCCTATAAAACATTTACAAAACAGCAAATTGTAGCAAAAATTAAGTATTTATTCGTTTTCTCGTATAATTTTAAGCATATTGATGTGGATTCATTTTAAGTTCCAATGAAAAAAGTTATCTGTGCAGTTTTCGAAATTAGACTTACAAGCATGGTGTTAGTATATGCAAATGTTTATGTAAAAGTGAATTATATGATATAATAAATGTTTTGTGTCTTTTAAACGTTGCAGATTTATTACATATAAACATTTTTACAATAAATTACAATTTACCATATAAGTTGAACCTATATAAACTAACGAGGAAATGAGTTAAGCGTTGCTCGGCCAAAAACTAACGATAACAAAGATTAAGATTATTAGATTATAATCGATCTTACTCGTTTTCAACGAGTGCAAGAAATAGGCTCCCCTTCTTCCAAGACAAATTAGAGAATTGTAAAATAGTGACCTTTTAGCAGAGTGGGAACAAAAGAGGCGCGACTTTGTCAATTGGACCTACCTGCGGTCGGGTAATACCACTAGTAAGGTGTTGACTTGTAAACAGATAAAAGACAAAGGAAGCATCGGCTTTGTTAATTGGACCCACCTGCAGTCAGACGTTAGTACATTTGCCATATGATAAACAAACGAACGTAAACATGTAGCGGACGTTTGTGTAAGCTCCACTCTCGTCGGATGACAACGGACCCGAGCGTAAGCTGTTCGGGCATAAAAAAGGGTTGTGATTGGTCGTAAGTCCCCGTTCCAAAAACCCTTAAATTGCGGGGCGAACGACAGAGGAGAGAGAAGGGCAAGAGATTGATACACGATAGTCTCAGGCACTTAGGAAGCCCGCTGAGCGTAGAGAGAGTGTTCTCCTCTGTTAATCAATTCAGGGACGGGTTAAAGCAGAGACCGGACCGACCGTGCAGTTGAGCCAACTCCACAAGCTGACTGAGGTCTCTCCAAAGGTTATTGGTTCCTAGACGCCAATCTGGCACATGAGTCACCACGCATGGTTATCGCGTACATATACTATGTTTTTTAACTTTTACTTTCTACAACTGTAAATAAACTGTAAATATATTCAATTTGAGTGTGGAGGTGTGCTTTCCAACGAACCTNATAAAAAACTATATTACATACAAATAAAAACGCAGCGAAGCGGGTCCTTGCAGCTAGTATATATATATATATATAGATAACTTTTATATTATTAAACAAAATAAATAAAATTCTGTGTGGCGCCATCTGTTATTAGCTTTTTTAATAAAAATTTTTATATTTTTAATTACTATAAAATTGGAAAAAAAATCTTAATTTTGAAGGTAGGGATGGGTTTTATGAAAAATTATAAATGTTAGTAACGAAAAAAATCATCATTAAGTCTCGAAATATGACACAAGACCCTCTATTTCTCCACACTCCCTGGACCTTTAAACACCAAAATTTAATAGCATCAATGCCCTCATATATAACCCACCATGCCAAATTTCGTTTCTTAATGTTTATCCCATCTTGAGATATTAAGCGAAATAGACCCAAACACACACAGAGATACACATACATACAAATCCACTAAATGTTTTTTGTAGTTTTTTTTGACTTTTTGGATTCAGGAGGTCTCAAAACATGGAAATTTGCAGAAAAGTCGAAAGTTCAAATTTGACAGATTCAATACTTTCCCTTGTTATGTATACATAACAGCACATTTCTCCTACATTATCACTATTTTGTACTAACTGAAATGCATTGATAATTCGAATATTTATTATTTTTGAAATTAAAATTATTTTTTCAGAGAAAATAACTATGTATTCTTGTAACCTGACAGAACATAAAAAGATGTTCTTATCCGGAGGTGATTTTGCATGCAGTTTTGTTTAAAAACTTCCAAAATATAATGGATGCTGTTTGGTGGTGGCCATTATTGAAGTTACGAGTGTATTATTATTAATTTATTAATTAATAATTAATTATTTATTAATACTACACATTATCAAGACAGTTTTCTCTGTTATTACACTCAAAATTAAAATTATAATAAATTGATAATTCCATTTTTTAGTACAGTACAACACTAAGACCTGGTTTAGGAGCGCAAGAGTTTTGGGATGCAAAATTTCAAAATAATAATAAAATAATGAAAAATAATTTAAATTAAAAACATTATAAGGGAATAAGAAAACTACTTAACACTGGTAATTAGTCATGGGTTCAGGCTGGTCATATGGAGTTTCCCACTTTTCATCACGTGTCTGACACTTAAGTAAGGGTCAGTTTTCTATAGAACCACCTTCTGGCATGCATTCCCCTCGTGTATAAATAAAACCAATATAATCTTTAAACACTAATTAACATTTATATTATTAAAACACGTGATTAAATATGAAAAATAATCAATCGAATTACTTTAAAATTTATTATTAACGTTAATTACAAATAGAATCCCACGAAAAACTCAATTAAATTGATGAAAAACAATTATAAAAATTTAGATAAATTTCTAGCTTAAATGAATTTAAAATATTTCTTTCTCTCTTTGATTTAATATATCGCTTGTTTTTTGTAACGAATTTATTACTTCTAAATGAATTGGATTGTATATTTCATTCTTCATCTTGATCAGTTGCCTCTTCGATATTATCTTCTTCATCAGTTTCTATTTGATGAACCGAAGTAGAATGGATGACATTTTGTAGAACCTCATGAACTTGTTTAGATTGATTTAAATCATCATCACTTTCTGCCATTGTTGTACTTTCTTTTAAACAAGATACATCGGATTTCATCTCGAAATTGTTGTCACGTTTGTCTAAAATAATCGATTTTACGAGCGAATAATCATATCTTGCGTAATGACATTCAGAACAGAAGATATAATCAGATTTTAAGTGTTGCAATACGTGATTTTCAATAATCGATTTTTCTTTTCTAATTCTGTTACAAATACCACATTTATAAACATTACAATCATTTGTATAACGCACAAGTTTTTCTAATAATTCCTTTTCTGTAAGTAAAAATATTTTACAATATTCACAAATTATTTTTGAACTTTCATTTGTTTCTTTCTCTCTTCTTTTTACATTGTACGCGTCTTTTCTCTCATCCATTATTTTTTGATACAACGATGTAAACAGATTACATTTAGAACAATACGTTTCCTTAAAGATAATATGTTGAAGAAAAATATGTTCATAAATGGACATGTCACATTTGCTGCTACAATCGCATATTAAGCATCTAAAAGTATTTTTAAATATCATTGAACCAAATGGGTCTTCTGAACATTCAATTATTAAAAGTTCTTTCAGATGAGTTTTAGCATTGCAAAAGTTTTGATTACATAAACCACAAAAAACATATATTTCATTCAATTGTTTTGATCCGAAAAGTGATAACATATCTTCAATTTCTGTCGAAGAAAATGGTTTCGGTAGAATTGTAATTGGAATCGAGATAATGTTTGAAAATAATGGATCGTTTTTCATATATAAAAGAATGGTTATACCAGGAAATCGGTTTATTAAGAAGGCCTGGATTCTTCTTTTCATATACTTTTCATTTAAAACTATAGTTGAATGTTTTTTTAAATAATCGCAGACATCGCTCCATAGATGTGAACCATTTGTAGAATTCACATCGAATTTACTTTTAATTGTAAGTTCAATTTCTGCTGGTATTCTTTTTAATGAAAAATGAAGCTTTTTATTATTACTTAATAGAGATGAAATATCTAATTTTCTACATTTCTGAAAAATATTGTTGGTTTTTTCTTTATTTATTCCATTTATTATTTTGTTTTTTTCAATTCTCTTACGTCCAGTATATTCTATAAGAAAGAAATAAGTATTTTGGTATTAATAATTAGTCTAATTATACAGTTTATAATGTTTAAATTCTTGAAGAGAAGTACTTATTCTGGACAGACAAAAAAACAAGCAGAATAAGTTAATATGACAGAGTTTTAGAGACATTAGGTATACCGGATAGCGGGAAAACCGGACATAAGATAGTGCAAAAAGTAAAAGGTTGGCAGCATTGTCATATTACAGTCGACCCCTCTATAACGCGGGTTTATATAAGGCGGATTCGTATATCGCGGCGAAAAAAATTGCGACCGTATTCGTATAAAGACGCTAAAAGAGACTCGTAAAATGCGGTAAAACGTCATCGCCGACTCGTGTCGCGACAGGATTGGTCGAATCTGGACCAATAGTGGACGAGCAGCCGAACTATTTACACGCTACGGAGAGTTTAGGTGGGTAAGTTGAGTTTACTATCGTCTGTATAGTATATAAATTAGGTACTGTAAGTCTAATACAGTACTGTAATTTTATACATTTCTTGTGAAAAAAACATTTCTTATTCAACGGCCATAAAAATTATTTCTATTAATGATGTCTTCAAAGTTCAACGAAAACGCGTCCGCCGTTTGGTGTGCTGCTCCGCGACGAAAACAAGCATAAGCAATGGCGTCGTCTAACGGTGTACACTCGGTAAGTAATCCTACAATTTTTTGTTTATAACATAGTTTATACGGATTATTCCCAAAAAATTATACGTGTTTTGGAAATATTGAGTCAAATTAGTCTAGAATCGATTAATTTTATGGAAGGAAACCTTTCAAACAGCCGTAGTCCGTAAACTGCACACGTATCGGGCTGTGATTGGCTCATGTATTTAAGGATTCCTACAACGTGAAATTCTTATAAAGTGAAACGTATCTACCGCGTTATAGGGGGGTCGACTGTACTTCACGATTCCTATCTGTCACACGGTAATAGAGTATGTTGTTACGTTTTCTCAAGCAATCATGGACAGCTTTACAGTGTCTAGAATTGTCTTGGAGTTCACTTTATAGTATACTGTATTTACTTCAAAATGCTCTACAGTTTAAGGTTTTCTACGAACAAGAACAAATCCTGACCATAGTCAACCTAAAACAGTAGTAATATTTAATATTTGAAGTGTTTATTTACAAATCGACATATCCATTATTTAAATTTCTAATGAACATGTGTAAATAAATCACATTTCATTAGCTTATTTATTTCAAAATTTTCATACCAAAGTTCTTACTTTTATTCGATGAAACAGCCTTTATATTATATGTATTCTTCGTAAGCAGTTTTCTAATAGTTAATTGACATAATTTAATATCTAATTCTCGATGTATATTTTGTTCAGATTTCTATATAATAGATGAATTAAAATTTTATAAATGTTAATAAAACAATTTAAATAATTAAAATTGATTACCTTATCCATACTTTCACATCGCAACAAAAGTGATAATTGTTAGATTTTAATAATTAAATTTAATAAAACATTATTGTGTGTAAAATGTATGTGTTTGTTTGATTGAAAACATGCATGAAATATAATAATAAATGTATGAAATAATAAGAATAAATTAAAGAAAAAAATCGTTAAACGTTTCATTAAACTTAAGGTAATAGTAATTAACAATTCAGCTTAACAAAACTGTTGATTCTGTAATTAACAAATCCCACAAACAACATATTATAACATTAATTCAGTTTGATAAATCTGTTATACTAATGTTTCTGTTATTCTATTTAATAAGTTACATAATGTTGTTACTTGATAACCATATTTTAATGTAATTTAAACACGCTTAATAAAAGATACTTGCTCTTATAATAATTTAAATATTTTTATTTTAATATATTAGAAATGAAGTAGAATCATCCTTTAATTAATTATTTAACATACAATACTATCATTGTTATCATACAATTCACAATAAAAAATTTCAATATATTTCCATAATTAGAATTTATGCTGTTTTAATACAAAGTTCATAAGTTTTAAATACTTTTTTCTTAACTTCTTCAGTCAGCTCAACGTAATCCTAAAAAATTTATTTCATGATTTATTTTTAAATACTTCTAATATTCACAATCAAAATGAACTTTTACAATAGACCCTCCCTATAACACTGTTGATAATTCTGTTTTATATGAATTCCATGTTGTACGAGTCACTTAGATTTTACAAATATGTGAGCCATTCGCAGCCCGGCACANTTTTAAAATAATCACATTACTTTTATAAAAATGTATAAAATACAGTATTAAATTTAAAAATTTACATATGTTAACTAATAATATTTTCATTTTAGCATCATAAATAAATGTTTTTAAAACATTTATATCTATAGTAAAATAATCCAGCAACGAGTTGCATAAATTTCCCCAGCTATTATTAGATCTTATTTAGAAAATAAATGTTAGTAACGAATAAAAATCTTCATTAAGTCCTACTCCTCTCGAGATATGACACACCCTTCTATCTCACCATTCCCTGAACCTTTAACCACCGAAATTTAATAGCATTAATGTCCCTCATATACATGCCACTATGCCAAGTTTCGTTATTTAATCTTTACCCCATCCTGAGATATTAAGCGAAATAGATGCCAACACACACGTACATACATACATATCAACTGAATATTTTTGCTGTGGTTTTTTTCACTTTTTTGAATTCAGGAGGTTATTTTTGAATTCAAACTTGAAAATCATTTATTATCACATTTACAACTTTTCCTATTCCTCAACATATATACATTATTGATGGTAGAGTTTATTTCATGGAATAAAGATAAAAGTCCCTCTTAATTCCCTCAGGGAAAGTAAAATCACAAGTAAAAAAGAAAAGAAATTTGCGGTTACTTACAAAGGAAATCCCCTTTTTTATTTTCAATCTTTTATCGCGTGTTTCACATTTTCGAGCTAAGACCTCTGTTTCCTAATTTTGTCTATTGTAATATTAAATCGCAATAAAAACACAAGTATTTCTGTAATTTTTTTTACTTTAACAGGGATTCCCCGTGTCACATTAGCGTAAGTTATTTTTCCTAGTGTATTTATTATTTAATTAATTAATGGTCATAACGAGTCGCCGTTACACATTAATATCTAGTTATAAATTGCACACATTAAATTAGCAATAACGTATTCTTTAAAAGCTATGAGAACTCGATTCTAGCACCACAAACTTCTTCACTTGTACTATAAAAAATGACCCAGCCATTTTTAATCATGTCGTAAAGGAAATTCTAAAGTAAACTTGTTTGCTTTTTTGGACTCTCTGCCCTGTGCACTAAAAAAAACTCTTTATCAAGCCAATCGTAGTTTCGAACAGGCCCAGGAGGGGACAACTGGATGGTGTAGGATGGGCCAGACAAATTCGAACGGACCACCCCGAAAAATTCCTGTGGTTTTTCGATTGTTCGAATTTGATCTAGGATTCCCGGAGCAGTAAGCTTTTAGAATACATTTTTAAAAAATCCAGCAATGAGTTGAATAACTTTCTCGGCTGCTATGAGTTTTTATTTAAAAAACTAGCTGCAAGGANGACTCATACAACATGGAATTCATATAAAACGGAATAATCAACAGTGTTATAGGGGGGTCGACTTGTATATAAAACTGAAGGTACAAAGCATAAATTACGGATCCATATTGGAATTATACGGTACAGGATGAATATAAATTTATTTTCTTTAGAATAAAGCTACATTTTGACCCCACTCTAATGTCAATAAATCAATAAATAATCGTTATTGTTTGTTAAATTAACGCAACAATTGGGCGATCTAACTAGAGGGGATGCCTTCAGGGATGTCTTTTTAAGGTCCACATGGCCAGCTTGTGGTCCTTAAAAAGTTATTTTTGACTTTTTCCACCCGTTTAGAGGACAACTAAAGTCAAAAATAAATAAATAATATTTTTTACACTGTCTTATTATTATCACCAGACAATATAACAAATTTATGTAAAATTATATTGAAGGATTTCTTACCTCTGTTATTAAAGTCTTTTCTTGATACGAAGATATTTAAAAGTGCATATACGTAACTTAAAAACACACACAAAAAAAGCATTAAGCGGAAGAGAAATAAATTAAATCGATTATCCGGAAAAGGATGTTTATTAATTAACAGTGTTTAAAACGTTTAACAAAAAATATTTTTCTAATTTTATATGGATTTACTTAAAGAGAATTTGATAAACATTCGATCATACTTTAACTTAAATATGAATTTGTATAAAATAAATTTAATGTCATCGTTAAGTTTTATCACAATTAATCCTACATATGCATTTACTTTATTTCATTTCCTGTTATAATATTGCTGATATCATTTATTATTACAGTATTATTATTGTAGAAATAATATTCATTAAATAAATTATGGTTTTATCCACTCGTCTACTGATGGACACTTATTAGAATTAAGAAATTACCTTTCAGAAATGAAAAACACCCAAGTTGTTATATGTGGAAAATTAATTAATTTTAGTAAAGTATAAAGGAAATTACAGATAAATTTCATATTTAAACATTATTAAAGAATATTAACAACTATTTATATAAATTTGAGTAATTTAGAAAGGCTTTATCTGTAGTAAAATATGGAAAATACAGTCGACCCCCCTATAACACTGTTGATGTTTCCGTTTTATATGAATTCCATGTTGTATGAGTCCTTAGATTTTACAAATATGTGTGCCGGGCTGTGGACGGCTCACGTATTTGTAAAATCTAAGTGACTCGTACAACATGGAATTCATATAAAACGGAAAAATCAACAGTGTTATAGGGGAGTCGATTTGTATATTTTGTGCTGATTAAAGTTTAATAAAACGCTCTTAAATTATTCTAACGTAAAAATATTACATCTTTTTTATTATTATTAAAGGAAAAAGGAAGTAGTCTAGCTAATTACATCCGCTTTACGATCAAATTCGCGACTCCATTGATACTCTATTAATTTGTATGGCGACAATGAAGAACACTTCGACGATACTTTCATTTCTTGGCTTGTTTTGTATCATTTATGGTTTTGTAGAAGAAGAAGCAATAACTGGAATTTGTAGTAAGTTTAAAAATTTTATGTTAATTAATATAATAAAGACAACAATGTAAAAATATTATTTAATATTTAGAAATTCCTAGTGAATATGCCCGTAGAATTACCAACTGTACTTTATCCAGAAGCTCGAAAGGTATTGTTGAGGTATGTTGTTTAAAATTTCGTATATATTTTTATACTATTAATATAGATTATATATTTTAAATATAATTTCTATAGTTAACTGATGGTATATTTCGTTGCGTACTGAAGAGTTATTCGTATAAAACTAAAGATTTTTCTGTTTATAAATATATTTGTTCAACCAAAGTAAAAATGAACATAAAGGTAAGGATTATGTGATAAGATCCATACATGTATATATATATATTTCTATATTAAATAAATATTTTTTTTTTTAAGGTTAGAAACTGTATGGATGCTCTTCCAAAGGTATGCTTATATAGTCGACCCCCCTATAACACTGTTGATTATTCCGTTTTATATGAATTCCATGTTGTACGAGTCACTTAGATTTTACAAATACGTGAGCCTTTCACGGCCCGGCACACGTATTTATAAAATCTAAATGATTCATACAACATGGAATTCATATAAAACGGAATAATCAACAGTGTTATAGGGGGGTTGACTGTATATATATGTCTATATATAATTTTAATATTATTAAATAGCATAAGTTACATAAAACATATATTTTTTTTCCTTAGAATATACTTCAATTAAGCGAAGAAGATGAGAATGATTTGTCGGAGAATTTTAAGTTCTGTGTGATAAATGCATAAAAAAAGGATAATTATGTACGAAAAATAATTAAATTTTGAATGGAAAATAATCATAAAATTTTATCAAAATTAATTACTTATTCTTAGCAATGTTTAAGTAATAAAATTAAATTTATCAGTTCAAGTTACGTCCTAATAGAATTTCCTTTAGAAAAACGTTTATCAACTAATTATTAGTTGATAAACGTTAAATAAAATATTTTAAAAGAAATTAAGAAATTTTCTTTATTATTTTTTAATGAAATAAACGAAGGATCGGGCGAAGATTTTGCTCGTTAATATCACCGCTCAAAATCAAGCTTTTTGCCATTTTATAATAATTTTTTAAATTTTTTATAACTAAATCTCATAACAGATGGCGCCACTCACAATTTTATTTATTATGATTAATCATATAGCGGTTACTTTTTAAATAAAATCTCGTAACATCCGGGAAAGTTACACAATTCATTGCTGGATTTTTTAAACAGATAACTGCGCATGGCATTGTATATTTCGAATGGTAAGTGTTCTTTAAAGTCGTTTATAAAGAAATCTAGAAGTTTTTTTAACACATTTGACAATAGGTAGGCATGAATTTGCTATATTTTTTATGTTCACGTTCATATTTAAGCTTTAATATAAAGCAACAAATTAAAAAAAAAATTGATAGCGTATCTGTTTTCATTAGATCCGATATCCGCTTAAGCGATGTTATTAAAACGAAAAAATATATATATATAAACTGTTTGTATTATATAAAAAGAAGTAGAAAAATTACTGTAAGGTAGCAAAATACTGTATAGCCAAAATTTAATTTTTTACTAATTTTTCCGAAATTATTGCTCCTTAGAAAACCGTCCATCCACAAAGAATATGTATATTTAAAGAACTTTCTGTGTTTAACTAAGTATAAATTGTTACATTTTGCATATTTCTTTTGCTAAAATAACTTAAGCTTCATTCGCTGAAGCACTAATTTTTATCTGACTGGAGTACTGTAATAATTATTCTATACTGTAGTTGTGTTCTAACATAATAAATTATATAGATGAAAGAGAAATAGTCACAAACCTTAAACATATAAAAATATTGCTATAGAAAAGTACAGTATTATTTATAATAAAACTAAACATTTACATGTACTGTAGTACCTTAAAAATTAGTTTGTTATCCTGCTTAAAACAAATTTAATTCTTACAAAAGTTTGTTTCTAACCCTTGGTATAGGCTAATTATATAAATGGTCATTTGATCTGATAAGCCCTCACTATTATCTGCCTTACGATTGTTGATAATTTAATTTATATAAGTTTAATTCTATTATTTGTAAGACTTCTTTAATACATCCTATACAATAACAATACACAGACATACTAGTACTTTGGACTTTATTGAAAGGCAGCATTTGCAGCATTTATTTGGTAATATGTGATTATTTAAAATATTATTTGTAAAGTTAGAAAGCATATAAAAATTCATTATAGAAATGATTCTTTTACATACTAGTACTTTTGTATTGTTATTCTGTTGAATGCATTAAAGATGTCTTAAAAGTCATTTTGAATACAGTTTTAGAATATACCCTTTAATTTTATTACGTAGATATCACTGAAATAATGCCTGGATGTTCGGATTTTGGTTGTTCTAATTCTTCTGTAAAAGGATATATCGTGAAATGTTTTCCAAGAGATCCCGTTCGGAGAAAAATTTGGGCTAAATAAGTGAGCCGAAGAACCTACAAATAATTATTGTTTGTGTGAAGTTCATTTTGAACCATAAATGTGGAAAAAGGTGAGAGCTGATGGGAAGATGAAATTAAAACATAATAACCATTTCAACTTTGTTTTCATTCACAAAACAAATTATTCACAGAAAACCACCAAAAGGACTGTTATAAAACAAGTAAAAACTTCAACTACGTACTAATCATACTACTGTTACACCATCAACAAATTTTGAAATATATTCAACATTTATAGAAGAAACCATATTAGCTGAAGACATTTCTGCAAATCATGATACATTATCTAAAGAACATACAAAAGATAAATTTATATTACAACAGAATTTTAAAAAATATATAAACAACTACATAGAAGATCATGTGAAAAAAATGTTAAACATGTAAACACTAACAGAACATTAAAACATAGAATTGGAATTTTGGAAAAGAAAGTAGAAAAGGCTAAAAGTGATATCCTAACAGAAGTCATTGAAATTTTCTAAAGATTAAAGTGAAATTATTCAAAAATGAGCAGGATAAAGTCCACTTTTTTGCTCTAAGTATGAATACAATATTGTACTGTATTCATATTTAGAGCAAAAATTAATCCATCTGTCATATTTTTGAATTAAAAAAACGAATAAAATGCTTTATTAAACTGAAATAATCGTCATTTCTTAATGTAAACCCATAGGCCACGTGATTACAATCGCCAGAACATGGCGGCGATGATTCGTGTATCGCTACTCAGATAATCTAGGTACTGTAGTTTGAGTAAACAAACATATAAATTAAATTATTTAATTGTCGACAAAATAAATAAATTAATAATTTAGGAACAAAAGAATTATATTTATTATAATTAAGTTTTTAATGTATCATTTAATAGTTTTCGTTAAAATAAATTACATATAATATAAACTATATTACATGTAATTTATATTTTTATTAAATAATTTTTGTTTGAAAAATCTTTTAAATTATATTGACGAAATATTTTTCTAATGATAAATAATTTTAATTTTTTAAAACTGATATAGATTTAGCCTCATTGGTCGAACGTTCGTCACGTGCCAAACGTTCAACCAATCTTATATCATAATTTTAAATTCAAAATTCGAAGAATACCGTTATTGCAGATTAACATTCCACAACAACAAAAATGGAATTAAAAGAGGTTGGTATTCTCAATTTTCCTTTAATTTATATAAAATTACAGTCTATTAATTACCGTCTAAAAGATATTTAGAAACTTATAAAGTGTTATTTTATTTACAGAGCACTAAGCAAGAACTATCCAATTATTTAGGATTTTCTAGTCTTCCCAATCAAGTTCACAGAAAATCTGTGAGNAAAAAGAAGGAGTGGGGAAAGGAAGTGAAAGAAACAAACTTTTGAACTTTAACGATACGGAAGCCGTTAATGTGCAGATTACCTAGATACTCTGCAAATTACCTAGGTAATTTGAGAAATTGAACAATTTTCGCAGCTTTAACGGATTTTTCTATTTAATCTGCAGATTAGCTAGGTAATGTACACATTAACGGATTTCGAGCTTTACCGGTAACATGTATATAAAACTATTAATATATTACATACAAATGTACGAACAAATAAAAACCCAGCGAAGCGGGTCCTTGCAGTTAGTAATAAATAATTTTGGATAAAAATGAATATTGATAAAAGTGAAAACGTTTTTAATGAATCTAAAAAGTGCAATTTCAATATTTATTTTGATAAATATCGAATCTTTAAAAATTAAATTTTGTTAAATGTAAAAGTTTCTATACACTTAAGACAATTCGATTTACAAATTTAGTTGTTAAAATAATTTTAATTGGACGTAAAATACATATTGATTACAATGTTTTTAACTTAAGTTAAACGTTAAAATAGTTTTCCTCTTGTAGTGCATATCAGTGGCAAATGTCTGCTATTTGTAATGAAATTTCTTAACAGTTGAATATAAGTTAAGAAAAGCGTTATTGGAGGCGCGAATGAATATGCATAAGTAATGCTGTTAAGATAATTTGTTTTCGACAGCGGCCATACCACGCTGAAAATACCGGTTCTCGTCCGATCACCGAAGTGAAGCGGCGTCGGGCCCGGTCGGTACTTGGGACGGAGACGACCTGGGAATACCGGGTGTTGCTATCACTATTTTGTTTTCTTTCATTCTTCGACTTATCTCTTTTTCTTTCGTCTAATCAAATTTATCATTTGGCACAGTAATTTTTCTTTAATAAATTATATTAAGCAAACGTTTCTTTTCCATGCCCTCTGGCTTCCTGTACATTGCTTTAAAAATCCTCAGTGTGTCAATTACAAAGGCATACTGAGCATTTAAATGTCTTTATCATGCGTGAAAGAACATTATCAAAATCCTATTATATATATTNTATATATATTATTTTTATATTTTCAGATAAAATAGAACAGACTCTTTCAATAAATACTTCCACTGTAGAAATAGAAGAAAAGGGAGTAAAGCTTAGATTAACTGTTGTGGATACACCAGGATTTGGGGATGCTATTGACAATACCGATTGGTAAAACATATTTTATAGACAAAATTAATGTATAATTAACTTAAAATATTTAATTTAATTTAAAATAGTATAATAAAAATTTCAAAATTATATTTAAATTTTCAGTTTCCTTCCAATTATTCAATACATTGAAGATCAGTTCGAATGTTTTCTGAGAGAGGAAAGTGCTCTAAATAGAAGGAACATAGTTGATACTCGAGTTCACTGTTGTTTTTATTGCATTTCTCCATTCGGACACGGTCTTAAGCCGCTCGATATAGCTTTCATGACACGACTTCACAATAAAGTCAATCTTATACCTTTAATTACAAAAGCGGATGCTCTGACTAAGACAGAAGTAACTAAACTGAAAGCTAGAGTGAGTCTTCATTAACAATATATTTAATTTTAAACTGGTGTGTGTGTATATAATATTTTATTTTTAATTATAGATAATGAGAGAAATAGTAGACAACGGTATTCGAATCTATAATTTTCCTGATTGTGATTCTGATGAAGACGACGATTATAAACAATTAGTCTGCGAGTTAAAAGTTAGTGGTTTGTTATAAAAGCAAATTTATTAAAATTACAATTATAAAACGTATTTTTAAATGTATAGGAAGCCACACCATTTGCCGTTTCTTCTGCTGTGCAAAGATTTGAAGTAAGAGGAAGTAAAGTCAGAGGTAGAGCTTATCCCTGGGGAACATTGGAAATAGAAAATACAGAACACAGCGATTTTTCAAAATTAAGATCCATGTTAATGTAAGTATATTGTAATCTGGTGTTTGTGGTGTAATGGCTCTTCCTGCCTAGTGAAAATAGCTCTTAGTTTGTGGCTAGGATACTTGTGGCACTTTGTGTGCGTGATCTTATAACAGAAAAATTACGATTCTTTTTTAATGTTTGTTGTTTTTAATTCTTACCCAGGCAGTGTCCGGCATATCTGTTACTTTATAGCTACTAATTTTAATACCTATGTATAAATATAATTATTACTTAAGTACGTGCGCATATATTTAAATTCAAAACTTATTCTATTGAATTTAGAACTCATATGCAAGACTTGCAAGAAGTTACACACGAGCTTCATTACGAAACATATCGTTCGGATCGTCTAGCAGATAAAGGAGCCACTGTATGGCGAAAAACACCGTAAGTTACGTTTATTAAATTAATTTTTTGTTCATTAAAAGTTAAATATTGCTTTTTTTTTATTATAGTGTTCAACCTGAAGAAACAGAGAAAATCTTGGAAGAGAAAGCGACTGAACTACGCCGTATGCAAAGCGTTTTAAGTAGAATGCAAGAGCAAATGAAAGAAGAAAGTAAACCCTCCACCAATTATTAGAAACATTCACTATTAATTTTAAAAAATCTAAAAAGTCTTAAAAGAAACCGATTTACTGAATGCAAAATTTTAAAAATTTCTTTATACATTTCATTTAACAGAATTTGTTTTTAATTTTTGTTAATTCACTATTAAAAAAATAAAGAGTTTTATTAGAAATTTAAAGTAAAGGTATTATTTCTTTATCAGAAAATTTCTCATTAGAATACATGTATTTATCTAAACTCAGTATCTTTCTTCAAGCCATAACTTCAATACCTTCCTTCTTAAGCTAACATTCGTATGCTACATAATTTTATATTTCATATGGATGAAACTTTACACGAAGAAAGATTTCAATAAGTAACCGATTTTGTAATTATATGTGAATTGTGTATTGTTTTAATAAAGTGGTTATGTTATACTTGAGCTATAAATTACTGATATATAATTTATAGCTCAAGGATTAAAAAACGGCAAGCGAGATTAGCATTTATATTTAGATTTTAAACTGGTAATTTATAGCGCTAGGGTTGAAGAAAGCCAAGAGGAATTTAACATTCATTTCTTTGGATTTCGTATTGGTAATTTATAGCTTAAGAATTGGAGAAAGGCAACAGGAATTCATGATTCATATTCGTTTTCAAATCGGTAATTTATAACTCAAAGGGTTGGAAAAGCCAAGAGGGATTTAACATTCATATTTCGATTTCATATTAGTAATTTATGGCTCAAGAGTTGAAGAAAGGCAAGAGAGATTTAACGGCCGAATGGCCTATCAGTTAAGATGACAGCTGGGATCCGGGACCGAATCCGGACGACTTAAAAATCCTCAAAAATTTTTCAGGGATGAGTCCATCCCTGGAAACCACGGAAAATTATTCGAATTGTTGCCATAACGGAACAGAATTATCAAATTCATTAATTAATTCCGAAAAAGGCAGCCAAGAATTTGGCGAAAACAGAAGAAAAGAGAGTCTGTAATTCAATAGGAGTATTCTAAAGAGTGCTTTGTATGTCTTTCTAGAACATATCTGGCTCTCAGTGTGCCTGAAATTATATGGATAAATAAAAACTTTTATGCAATATGCATGGATCCCGTTGGAGAATACTTAAAAAAAATTCTATAACATAATTAAATTTAAAATGTTATATTAATAAATATAATTTGAGAGAAATTTTCTAAAACCGAAAAATACTAACACTTTTCTGAAGAAAGAATTAATAACTCTTGATCCTATCAAGCCATATGATGATGATGCGGATAAAAAAAAACAAGTTACATAAATAATGCAACTGGATCATAAATTTCTATAGAAAACCGGAAATTGGTCGAATGTGACTTGGAAAATTTCCTATTTTTTCCCCTTGTTAAACTTTGTTTTTCGTTATGGTGAATGATAAATGCTACTGTTTAATTTATGCTTTAGTGTCTTTACCAAAAAGAGGAAATATGGAACATCAAATACCTTAGAATATATGACATTTTATAGCATAACTTTAGATAGAGTAATAAAATAAAAATATGAAGATAGATCATCAGTATTTTTAAATCAAGAAAGTTAATAAATAGAAAGAAAGGAATTATTAATAACATGTTTATGGAGTTATTAAGGAAGGAAGAATTCGTATGAATGTGGGAGTCAAAAAGAATGTTGATCACAAGCCTTAACTATAGTATATTATTGTCATCAACTTTAATTTTTACTTTTTCTGCTGTTATATTATTTTACAGTCAATTCAAAACGTTTAGAATAATTTAACTCCATCACAAAGAGCCAACTCTTGAGTGGTTAATATTTTCTTCGTGTAAATCAATAATTTCGGCGTTTTCATCCAGGCTAAAATTGTCTCGTTTCTTGTCGTAGTGTTTACTGTACTTTTGTGACAATTACTGGATTGTAATTTAAGCTATAAATTACTAATACGAAATCCAAAAAATAAATGTTAAATTCCTCTTCAACCCTTGCGCTATAAATTATCAATTTAAAATCCATATATGAATGCTAATCCCTCTTGGCATTCTTCAATCCTTCAGCTATAAATTACATATTAATAATTTATAGCTCAAGTATAATATAATCATTTTTAAATACAGTATAATTTTTAAAAAATCTAGTAGAGCGTTGTGTAATTTTTTTCAGGCAAAAAATGTACGAGTAAAATTGTGGGGGTGCTATCTATTATGACATTTTATTTAAAAAGTTTTATATTATTAATTATTATAAAATGGCAAAAAGGTTATTTTTGAGAGTAGAGATCAGTTTTATAAAAAGAAACCATTATAAATGCTAATAACGAGTGATTTTCCCCCCATCGTTGAAGCTTAATAATTCCTATGCTTTTTGTCAAAATGACTTGTGTATTAGGGGGATTGATACTATTAAATTTTGATGATTAAAGGGTGGGGAAAGAAAGAAGGTCGTGTGTATATCTCCAGTAGGGTCGGATTTAATAACGATTTTACTCCTTATTAACATTTACAATTTTTATAAAAACTCATCCTTACCCTCAAAATTAAGCTTTTTTCCATTTTATAATAGTTAAAAATATAAAAAGTTTTTTTTAATAAAATATGATAACAGATGGCGCTACCGAATATTGCCGGAAAACTTAAAAAGCTCGTTGCTGGAATTTTATCTTTGTGATTTTTTCGTGGATAATTGAAATCGGAGCCTTAAGCTTCATTCCTAATTCTCGTAATTGATCACTTTTTTTTATTCAGGTGTTTCCAATAATTGAATCTGCTATATAGATGTGTATTACTAACCTCAGTATTGTCTACAACAAATTTTGCAGCATCGCATTCGTAAATACGAAATAAAATTCTTATTCCGTCTAACCCAACTGATAATATGACATATGACCCTCCTATATCTTCCCATTCCCTTGACCTTTAACTACTAAAATTTGATAGCATCAAAGCTCCACATATACAGTCTAATCGCTGCTAAAACTTTGAGTTTGTAATGAAAGTGACTCGTAAATAATTTCAGTTGGTTAACTGATAAATGGAAAGCTGTAAAAAACTTACTTCTTGTAAGAAATAAGCAATTTTTAGGGAATTTTTTAGGGAAATGGAATAAGCTCTATCAAAAATATTTCTGCAAAACCTAAATATGGAGTAAGCTTGAGGACAGTTTGGAGCGTTGTTCATGTTGCCAATCATCTCAAATACGCCAAAAAAAATCAAGACAAGCAACAGGTTGTGCAAAAATGACTTGAGCCAGAAATTACGTGACCTGAAATGGAGAAAAATATGGTCAGATGAAAAAAGTTTAATTTAGATGGACTTAATGATTTGCCAATATTATCGCCACAATTTAAGAAAAGAGAGTAAAATTTCGATCTACCGTCAAATCGATGATGTGTTTTGGTGCTGTGGTTTTGTGCAATTTTTTGAGAGCGAGAGAAAACAAATACTGTATTTCTTTTTCTGAAGGAATTCAGAATACTAAAGGATACATCCAACAGTTAAAAATGCACTACTATCCTTTGGAGAAAGACTGGGGGATCTTAGTGGCAGTTCCAGCAAGATAACGCTCCCATCTATACCGCCAACATTACCTGGAATGGTTTCTGGTTAACGGGATTCAAGTCATGGTTTGACCACCAGATTTGAACCCTATGGAGAATGTCTGGGAAATTCTGGTCAGGTCAGTCTGCACAAATGCAACACCACAGATTTGAAGATTGTAATCATAGAGAAATGGAGGAAAATCCTCAGAGTCGCTGACAGACAGAGTTTTCAAAGTACAGTAATCGTAAACAAAGGAGTGCATTCCAGTTACTAACTTTCATAAATAACCTCCAAAATATCATTTTCTGTCCATTATTCATAAGTGATCTTATAATTATCGAACAACACAAGTTTTTCAATAAAATATAAATTTTATTTAGTTTTTTAAACATAATATACGAGGAGTCTTCTATAAAGTGATCCGGGTACTAACTCAGAAGGAATTATCAGATTCTTGTAAACGAAGCTTACATTCATACATTATCGAGCATGAACTATTATTCATTTGTGCATCAGCGAATTTTCTCTACCTCCGAAAATAGGATAAATTATCTCTTATTTCAAAATAAAGTCTTTAAACATTCACGTAACTGATGAACAGATAGCTACAGTCATAAACGTAAAGTATAGTTATTGTAAAGTGACTGAGCTACAAGTCGAAAATGATTTACAATATGGAAAAAAATCAATTACAAAGTTGTAGAGCATGAACGATTTAGTACAAAAGGACATCCTGCATACATCAATAGCGTGAATAGAAAGCGTGAAATGTTAATTTGTCGGTATTCGTTACACTAATCGAGTCACAAAGCAGTAGATTTTGAGAAATAGAGACAGAATAAACAAAATATACATTTATATCCGGGACAGTGCTTATCGTTGCTCGTAGGAATAATTCACCATACTCACCTCTAACGCGCTCTTTCACCTGCCGTGCCTTGTGACGTAGCCTTAATTGGAGGCAAATACCGATAAATTAGCATTTTACACTTTCTATTCACGCTATTAATATATGCATGGTGATCTTTCGTACTAAATCTGTTATGCTTTATAATTCTGCAATTGACTTTCTTCTGTATCGTCCATTGTATTCGAGATAGAAGCGCTAACTTCCGAATTTTGCCGCTAGGGAACGCTGAAAGCAGTCCCGTTTTGTCAGTTACATGAGTGCATAAAGACTTTACTATGCTTATTAACTAAACAAACGTATAGAATAAAACCTGTGTAAATCGGAATTGCACATATTTTCTCTGGCTTGTCAAGTTTCCGTTTTGAACAGGTTTTTTTTTTATTGGGCTGAAATTTGAAAAAACTGTAGACCTATAAATTCCCACTGTCGTCCGTCCGCCTGTCTTTCCTTAATCTCGAGAACGGAGTTAGATAGATGAAAGTCAAGACCAGATACCTTAGACCCCGATTAACTATATATGAACTTCTAATGCATGCTGGAAGTCACGTTATTTCAATTCAAAACTTTTTCCCTGAAAGCAGTTAATAGATGACATGCATGACTCTGTTGTTAAAGGAAAAGTATGATATGCAGGGGCAAGCCACTACTAATTTGAGATGGAGAGCATATATTTTAAGTTATTAAAACAATTACATTATCGAAAATACTGTTAATAAGA